TACGTGGGTGGTCAGGAGCAGAGATAAGCAGGTCAGGTTCAGGAACGACAATACTATCTCCCGAGTAGATCTCCCATATGGTCGAACACTCTCAAGTACGCTTCTTGGAGATAGGTACTTGAACGTCGTAAACATGGTCTCACGAAGGCTCCAAAGGGCGTGGATTGCCTAACAGAGATCTAGAAGTTACTACTGAAAGGACGCGTCTGCGCTTGAACGTCGTAGACTGGAATAGATTCCCCCTTAACGTAGCTAAACATAGCTTCCATATTGTTTGGCATAGCATTAGAAGTGATATTTGGCTTCACCGGAGCAAAGACAAACCGAAATCACGTTCTGGAATGGCAACCTCGCAAATAACGTGGCCTAACGAGGGCTCAAAAAGGACTGGACAAGCACGTCTCCTCGAGAGAGGGACTGGGGCGTCGCAGACCGGGACCCCTTTTGCACTCCGTGCGCCGACTCCATCGACAGGGTGAAACATGCGCTCTTCTCAGTACAGCTGCACCATGTCACATCACGTCCCGTGACGTGTTAACCTTGTAGAGATGGGGAAAAGAACGTGAACTACCTGAATTGCCAGGGAGATTAAAACCTTAGCTCGCCACCGTGCTGGAAAGTACTGCAACAAATCCTGAGCAAATTTCAAGGAGCAGGACTTAGAGTGATGGCACAGCACTGGCCAGGACGCCTGCAAATAGGCCCATCCATGGAAGGTCACGTGCTCATAGGTCCGAATACCTTCCTGTCGCCGATGGCCGCGCTGGAAGGGTGAAACATGTGCTCTTTTCAGTATAGTTGCACCATGTCACATCACGTCCCGCGACGTGTTAACCTTGTGGACTCGTGCAAATCTAGGTGGGGAAAAGAACGTGAACTACCTGAATTGCCAGGGAGATTGAAACCTTAGCTCGCCACCGTGCTGGAAAGTACAGCAACAAATCCTGAGCAAATTTCAAGGAGCAGGACTCAGAGTGATGGCACAGCACTGGCCAGGGCGCCTGCAAATAGGCGCATCCATGGAAGGTCACGTGCTCATAGGTCCGAAGACCTTCCTGTCGCCGATGGCCGCGCTGGAAGTGTCCGCCGCGGGTGTTCCCGGAAGAGACACCTCCAGGTTAGAACCCTTCTGGAAATACCGACTACTTACCAGTGCAACTACGCAGCTACGGTGGCAGCCACGAAAACAACCGTCGCTAATGACGGCAATCTCCGGTGTCGCCTTGCCATGCCTTGCCCGTGTCACCGATCTCCGCACTGGCAGTATCCGCAGCAGGTACTGCAGGAAGAGACGCCTCCAGGCTGGAAACTCAAATACGTTTGCGCATTCTCCGGTCGTGAACCATCAAACAAGTGTTTGTGTCGGCTTCAAAGAGTACCAGGGGAGGTGGCTCATTTTTTCGAGCTGGCTACTTCAGAGCGGTCTGTCTCTGATCGTTCACGCTGCATGGTTGCAGTTCTAGGAGCTCAGGTTTGTCCAGGTTCAGGAAGGCACATTGACACGCAAAGTTAAAGCACCACGAATCGTCTTGGGGCGGCAGGAGCGCCCTGCCAACACCGAGCTGTTTCCGACAGAACCTACGTCTTTGGTAGGGGCTAAATGTTTTGGTGTTTCGGTTCGGGAGGCACTGAAGCACCTTTGCAAGTGAAGCAGATTCGAGGTTTCCAGCCCCACTTGAAGCGTTTCTGTTCGGTAATTTCTTTGGCAATCACTGGGGCAAAGTCGCGCAAAGACAAACCGCGCCGATCGCACGAACTGCACGGCTTTCCCGCCCACTTCTGGAACTCTGCTTGTGGCAGGGCGCATGTGTGGCACAAAATGGCAACAAACGAATTTCCGACGCAATCCTTTAGTGTGGGAGTGCTGATCTGATCGTGAGGCCAGGTACGGTTGCAGCTGAGGCAGGTGTGCAGTCTGTCTTCGCAGGTCGCACAAAACCACATGCGCGGTTTGGTCAACGGGCCCAGCGACGGCGCAGAAGTCCGTTGTCCGCATCCAGTCCAGCACAAAGGAAAAGCACAATCTGTGCAAACTATCCATGGTTGAGTCTTGCCGTCTGCAGATCGTTTGTGACGCCCACGCAAGTGGGTCGCCAACATTTCACGAGCCAATGGAGGAGGGAAATGGCAAAGGGTTAAGGAGTCTCGCTGGCAGAGGCGGCAGCGCAAGTTTGTGCATTTGACAAACCTGGCGGCCTGGTCGACTTTGAGCACGCAGGTCCAACAGCGCAACGTCAGAAGATTTGATTCAGCGTTCAACTTGATTTCCTCGATGGGAAAATAACTATCAGGCCAAGTTGTCCAACACTGCGTGCACAACGCCGTTGACGGCGTCTGCTGTTTCCTCTTTGGTGAGAAAGCACTTGCTCTGTTTTTGTTGGTTCTGCTGCCGGAACCTTATGTTGTGTGCAAAGCACGGCCGCATCCAACGCCCCAGTGTCCCACTTTTTTTGAATCTCTCCGGAGAAGCGGCTGCGACGAAGGAGGTCGCCACATTCGCCACACATCATCAAACGTGTGTCCTTTGGAGCCCTTGTGCTGTGATAACAACGATAACACTGCAGACGCTGCCCTTCTGAAATCTTAGACCAGATTGCCGTTTGCGTGATGTCTGCCGTAAAGCAACTAAGCGGCCAACGCACTTCCTGTTGGGCGCGTTCTGAACATGCTCGAC